GCGCGTCTCTTTCCCACAGGCCTTTGCTCCCCTATGGCTTTGGTCCTTGGAGCTGTGCTTTGCTCCAAATGGACGGTCTCAAGAACTAGGTGCAGATAGATGGCTGGACAGACAGACGGACAGACAGATTGCATGGTTAAATAGATGACAGACAGACAGATGTATGGGTAGATAGTTAGATGATAGGTAGATGGACTGATGGATGAGTAGATGCATAGATGATAGATTGGTAGACACGTGGGTAGATAGACAATAAATAGATGAATAGATGTGAGGATAGATGATAAACAGATTAGATAGATTAGATAGACGACAGGTAGATTGACGGATAGGTAGAGGCATCGGCGGCTAAATGACAGATAATAATGATAGGAACACAGATGAGTAGGTAGGTGGAAAGATGGCTGGATGGATAATAGAAAAATGGACAGACAGATGACAGGCTGAATTAGAGATAGAAGATAGACAATAGATGACAGACAGACAGACGGCCAGGTGGACAGTGGGTAGGTGGATGCACAGACAATAGATGAGAAGTAGAAAGACAGATCATAGACAGTAAGTGATGGGAAGATGGATGGATAGATAGAAGATAGATACGTAGAGGGTGGATAAAGATACTGGATGGAGAGTTGGATGCATAGACAGATTATAGGTGGCTAGATAAATGACAGATGGATTATGGATAGATTGATAGATGATAGGTAGGTGATAGAAAAATGGTGCATTGATGGCTCATAGACAGATGGTAAACGATAGATAAATAGATAGATAGATAGATACATACATACATAGATAGATACACAGATAGATACATACATAGATACATAGATAGATAGATAGATACATAGATAGATAGATACATAGATAGATAGATAGATACATAGATAGATAGATAGATAGATACATAGATACATAGATAGATACATAGATAGATAGATACATAGATAGATAGATAGATACATAGATAGATAGATACATAGATAGATAGATAGATACATAGATAGATACATAGATAGATAGATAGATACATAGATAGATAGATAGATAGATACATAGATACATAGATAGATAGATACATAGATAGATAGATACATAGATACATAGATAGATACATAGATAGATAGATACATAGATAGATA